CCTTACTACGTCACCAGCGCTGACCTTATTGTAGCCTTTAACCTCATAGTGATATTGCCATCTCAGACTCCAAAAATAGCTCTTTTTAATGCCCCTCAGGATCTGCAAAGCAGCTGTTTGCAAGCTGTAAGTTCGGAATCGTGTTTCAATACGAACGAAACGAAAGAACGGCATGGTAGGAAACAGTACAGAGTACTGCAAATTCGATACGAATCTGAGACCGCATCGAACTGCAAGTTCCTTCCACCCGACACGAACCGAAGCTTGAACCAAACCTGGAATGAACCGACATTTCAGGAACCGGAACGAACCGAAACGAACCGACCTCACAAACCCTAAACCCTCAACCCTTTAGGATTTCAGATTCAGGGGTTAGCTTGCATTTGTGCGGCGCTAGGATTTGAGGGGTCACTAGGCCCGGAGAAGGTTGGAGGATGGGACTACTGTACGAACCTAAATAATTTGAGCAATGGATCACCAAATGGAAAAGAAAACTGCAGACTGGGGTTTATGTAGAGTAGAAGTGTACAGGGATCATACTAACATAGGTGCCTATTTCTGAAGGGTTTTGCAGGGCATACTATACTGCGTTATACTTTAGGCGGACCCCCCAACCAGTAAGTGTAACTATAACGGAGAATGAAGATTATGTTATTGTCCTTTCATATTCCTATTCTATACCACTATTGCAGGGTGGGGGGTCCTCCTATGCTATACTATATTGTACAAGGGTTCTTAGGGCATTTTCAATTATTGCGGCTGTTACGTTTGCGGCTCTATCACCAAAAATGCATGGTTTAGGGTTTAGGGGATTTCTGGCTCTGCTTTTGCATAGAAAGTCACCCGGGCCAACATGTACGTGGAGTGCCTGGCCAAGTTGAGAGTTAGATTGTACAGGGCCCTCAAAAAAGCCCATAATTTTGACAAGAACGGATTGGTACTAAAATCGTGCATGCCCCAAAGCAGCATATACCCTGGGAATTAGAGTGGTATAGCAAACTAATATGGCATATTATAGTATACTACAGGATATTATAGTATTTAGAAATTCAGGCAGGCCTGTTGGTGCCAACTGTATCACTGTAGAGAATTAAACAGGCAGCCTGTTCTGTCACATGTCAGATGGCTGGGGGTTGGTGTCTCCCGTCATCTTCACTGCAAGCTACACATTTGGAGCCTGATGCTGCTATATCATTATAAAATTATAACATGTCTGTTTCCTGGTGTAAGCAAGGCTTCATATTTTTCACCACGCTCCCGTATTCAGGGTCCATCTGTAGGTGGTCTTTCTTTTCTCTTGGAGTGGCAGGGTGGTCAAGACCTCATGACTGGGCAACTTGCTAAGGTCATGTTTTTCGAGCTGGGGTGACCCAAGCCATGGGAAATGATGGTCTAGACGACTCTACGAGTTAGCAGGCTTGTTGATGAAGATCAAAACTAAAGTAGGAGTACCTCAAAGTAACCCCTACAGAATGATTATACTATAATCCCCCACAGTCCCCACCTATCCCTCGGGCCCCTAACGCAGAATGCTACCCGCCAGTGATCCCTCTCCAGGCGTTAGGGAGATTGCCCCTTCCCTGATGGTCCTTGTACATCCATCCCTTTGGTGCCCTCTGAGCCCTGAACCCTATGTCCAAAACTCCTAGCCCTACTGATTAAACGCCTCGCCCCCAACGAGAAACCCTAAACCCTTAAATCCCTAAACCCTAAACCCCAAACCTTAGTTATGGCATAGGGTACCTCCCTAAACCCAAAACCCCAAAACCCTAGTTATGGCATAGGGTACCTCCCTAAACCCTAAACCCTAATCCTACAGAAGCCCACAGCCCTCAGGATGGAAAGCAAAGCCAGCAGCGCCTCCTCAAGTGGCCACACGTACCAAAGCAAGTCCTGTTACGACTGTTTAGGATTTAGGGTTTAGGGTTTAGGGCCCCCCTCTTGTATGACGGTACTGTGATGCCGGGGGGAGGGGGGCAAAGTTGACAGAAAGAGTTGAGCCATGGTTCAAGCTCCTACTCCCCCATAATAACCCCTATAAGACTCCCCTCCATAGTCCCCACTATAGCCCCCCTTAGGGAGGTTTAGACTATAGCACAGTTTGGGTTCAAGGCAAAGACCTCCACAGCGCGGCCATCGGCATGCAGTGCCCGCCAGCCCTGCATCCAAGCCAATTGCCAGCAGCTTTAATATTAGGGACTAGGGTTTAGGGTCTAGGATTTGGAGAGATTACCCCAATAGTGGGGAAGCAAGAAATGGAAACTAGGATTACATAGAAGTTAATTGGGTGGATACCGACAATCCTGCCTGACCCTAAGTACCTTAGACCGTGGGAATTATTGTGCTATAGACCTATGTCTGGACGAAAATTAATTCTCATTTATGTATATTGCAGGGGTCAGAACACGCCAGTAGACTCCGATTCTGACAATCACCACGGTTCTCCGCGGGCTCTGAAACCGAGAGGTCGCTGCTTGAAGGGCGCCCACAACAAGCCTAGTATAAAGAATAGTTGGTTCTATATTGTGGTCTCGAATTCAGGGAAACTTGTGGAAAGTACCATAAATTATAAGCCCATTAGCCATCTAATGTTCCACTGTCTTTCCGTTCTCCATCATCGAGGTACAGTAATATTCCCTAACAGTCTAACAAACCTAACCCTGGACAACACATGTATCTATGTGTGTATATATACATGGTAGCCCCCACACCATGATCTACGGTCTACGTTTTGGTGTTTCTATTTGCAAAAGCCTCAGAAGTGATATACATATATATATATATAACCCTGTAGAGACCCATGTTGATAATCTCTGCATATGTGTGTCTGTCCTTATGCATGTATGCACGTACGTATGTATGCATGTATGCATGCATGCATGCATGCATGCATGCATGCATGCATGGATGCATGCATGGGTCATGGATGCATGGATGCATGTATGTATGTATGTATGTATGTATGAATGTAATGTAT